CTGTTTGGTTATCAGATAACAAAATAGAAACTAAAGTTCAGATACTTTCCACGTTGATTTTATACTTCAACAAAAGCAACTGGTCAAACACTTGAAATAGGCGATCCGTTTAGACGGGAAAAGGGGTAACCATTTACGTTAGTACGTTAAGCACAGAAGTTACCACTATGCACTGAATACAAACGTCCTCTGAGAACGCGTAAAATGCAAAAGTGAGATTTCTCATAAACACAACTTAACCCAGTAAAACAAAGATTCATATACCAAAAGCGTTAATAACACCTTAACAGTGACAATCATGTCGTGAATATATACCATACTCGATCAAAAATAAAATCAAAGAGACACCAACCAACAAAAAATCGAGAGACTTCTGCTCTACAACTTCGAAAAATTTCTTGGTTAACAACGAAAAAAAAGAACACTCTAAAATTCTGCATAAGTCGCAAACGGCAAATAAAAGGCGCAGCTTGCTTCTTCACTTTCCAACTGCCTTCAGTTCACGGTCCATCTGGCAGAGAGAGCATTCAAGACAAAACATCAAGGTGAGGGCATCATTGCACAGAGAACCCTGAAAAAAAAAAAGCAGCAGTTAAGCTACAATTATTATCGTCGAAAGTGTTGGGAAGGCTGCTACTTTTTACCTTTCTCTTCCCCCCGCCCGCCCCTGGCCGAATACTGAGCAAAACGTCAATGTTTGCGCGCGTGATTGCTCTGTTATATCCCAACAATTAATAGGGAGGCAAGAGAGATATTTAGCAAAAGAGAGAACTCTCTTTTTTGAGGACTAACCTTCCGAAATACTTTTGTCCGTGAATGTAGGTCGAAAAGATATGAACACTCGAGGGCCGGTACCGCATAAAAACTAAGGTGTTACAACATGGCCACACAGTTGAGTTATCCTTTTACAAAGTATCAGGTGGGTGGGTCAGGTGGGTGGGTGGGTTGGTGTATTGTATTGGTGGGTTGGCAGTTGAATGCTAGCGCAAGGATACTGGGGGGGGGGGGGTTGGGTTTTTCGCGCTTACTCGCTTGCAAGATATCCCAAAAACAAACAAACAAAGCAAAAACGTCTGTACACAATCGCCAAGTTCTCTACCAAAGTAAAAACTGAAAAGACCTACCTGAATATGCTGTTCTGTTCTCAGCTTGGCACGCAGAGTGAACGGTGCGATTTCAGAGCAGCAGCAGCCATAAGCAAATCCTTCCTGCATGCGACTGGAAATGCTGCACAACAGGAAGCAAGGACAACACAAACCCATGATACCTAAGGACAAAGCAAAAAAAAAACCAACGAAAGGCTTGAACGAGGTTTAAACCAGGTGCTTAAACCGCAGAACGAGTAAGTGCTGATTATGATAAATAATATTCCCTTTAATCTTTATTTATTTACTTATCACCAACAGCATGCTCTTGACATATCTGATCCTAACAGTATGCAGGCAACGCGTTTTTTAAATCGCTCTGCATGAGTAGACCTCTCCATCGATCAGTAGATGCGCCCGCCCGAACGCGAGCTCGTCCGATCGCCCGCCCGACCGCGAGCTCGTCCGATCGCCCGCCCGCCCGCGTGCCTGGTATTGGCAGGGACACCAAAGGTCGGAATCCTGTCAACTCAAATTTTTTTCTTTGTCTTCCCCTGGCGCTCATGACATGACGATTACGTACATCTTTTTCAATCACTGCCGAGTTTAAAAGACTCCCATCCTTTTTTTATGGGGCAACTATTGCTTAGAGTGCTCTTGATTTACAGTGCTGCACTTTGCAGGGTCGGCCAGGGGGGGGTAGTGGTATACCAGTATACCCGAAAAAAATTCGCCATAATACCCAAAAATACCCAAAATTCATCCAAATATACCCAAAATTATACCCAGGTAAACTTTATACCTGAAATTCAGAGAAAGTGATATACCGAATACCCGTATTTAAGCTGCAATATACCATATACCCGATTTAAAAAGCCCCTGTATACCGTATACCCAAAAACCCTGGCCGACCCTGACTTTGTTATCAGAGAATAAAATCATGCGTCGGCATCTAAACCGTCAGAACTATATTAACAAGAAACGGTATAACGGGTAAGACCGATGGTGATTTGTTCGCAGGCCTTTTCCGCGCTTCACAGAGCTACATTTATTTGCCTCAAGATCTGATAGGTTGAGTGGCTAACATTTGCCTCCATAGTAAAAAAAGTCAATTGTTAACTGCGCGCTCCAGTATTAAATCAGGGGCACCCAACGACTGTTTTTGCAAAATATCTGTTCGAAGAAGCAAAAATTTCCTAGAATTTTCTATAGCTTGAGGAAGGCTACAAGTTTCTAGATGACCGTTCCATTCATGCACAATTTTCGAAACGTTATCTAATAAATTCCCGATTTTCTGACCCCCAAGATTAACGAGCTATTTCTCGTAGAAATGGGAAACCTTTACCTTCGTAAAACTTTAAATTTCATCTAAAATTCAGTTTCGGGAAAATAATAATTTCGAAAAGACTCAGTTGCCCTAGGATGACCGAACAGGTACAAATTTTATAGCGCCGCTTAGAATGCATTTCTAGAGATGCAAAAGTTCTCTGGATAGGCTAAAAAGTGTTTTCACTGCATTTAGAAGAACCGTCGTTGGGTGTCCTGTTGGTTCCACAAGTAAAACTTACAGCTGCCTATATCATCAAAGCAGGAGAACAGGCCAGAATTCCAATCCCTCAGGATTTGTGTTTGCTGGACAATCACAGTTGTTCCTGGCTCAGCAGTCACTATTTGCGCCATAATGAGTCCTTACTGGAAAAACAAAAATATAATAATAAATAATAATACTTTAATATCCTCTCTCCTTGTGGGAATTTTCAAGGATAATGAAACAAATAATTTGAAAGAAACATAATATGTAATAGTACTAAAAAAGACAATTTCGAACGTTGAAATGCTAATTCAAAATATTATCGATAAGGTGTGTTCATTTCCGAAATTGTACTAGCTTAAAAGGTGTTAAGTCAATAACTAGTATTTTTAATAGGAAAGATCCTAATAGTATTTTAGTATTTATTTAAAGTGTATTTCTCGGGGATAATTTTAACGAAGGAAGTATTGCGAGACTTTTTGTGTTCCCGTAACCGGATGGATACGGACGGTTGCGGATTAAGAACTTAATTTTTGTGGCTAAAATATGTCTATAGAATATTCAGCTCTTTTCCTCCTTGTGTAAAGAAAGTCGCTTACACTTTATCCACTGATGTTATATTGAAAAAGTCTCGTCGATATCTTCTTTTGGAAAGAAACCCATTTTTGAGTCTGTCCTGTTTGATTAGAGAGTGTTAGTTCGTGAAGTTGTTTAATCAAAAATATGATATCCTGGGGTTTGTTCGTTGAGATTGTAATATACGTATTGGTATAGTGACCCGGTCAGCTGTCTTACTCTGAGGAAAGATCGTCTCTTTCCATATTTTAATTTGTTTACTGCTTGAAGCAAATATTGTAAACTAAGGAAAAGTGTAAACCTTATTTCAAGTTACTTCTACTGAACTTGTAAGAAAGTTTTTACGACCAAACTGATCATTATAATTTTCCTAAGTCTCTGGCGTTGTGTTTTTGGAAAACAGTCGAGTTCCTGTAAGGAAAATATCAGAAATAGGCTTCCTTGGAATGACGTACCAACTTAGCGCAGCTGCTCCCTCGAAATTCGTGAACTGAATTTGAGTGGCAGTTCGCGCCTAAAACTGTGAACTCGGCTGTGTGTCCATAAAAACGCAGCGCTAGAACTAGAAGAAAATACAGTACAACAACTTGGAAGAAAGAGTTTGTGGACTGAGTTTCTGAGTCTTCTTCATAGCCGACTGAAGAGCTAGTTCCCCATCAAACAGTTGAAAAGTGTGGATTAACATTTCACTTTTTATATCAATTATCATAATTTCGTGCACAGCAAACTCACCGAGGCCGCCTGCTCGCGATGTTAGCTTATCGCAAACATAGAGCGAAAGAAACTAGCTTTCTTAGACAAAAAATCGATCAAAAAAGAAGCTGAATGGAAACTTTGACCTCTCAAAAAGTTTTCTGCGATGTATTTTTGTGAAAACAGCGACCTTGAAAAAAAGACTTTGAGTTTGTTTTCTTTTCTGTAATGGCAGCCCTTAGCTTTTGAGTTAACTTTACTGGAGTAATTGACAACCTTACGATTAATAACTACGAAGCCTGCCAAACATAGCTAATAGTCGTAAATTTCACGATTATTAACTACGAAGCCTGTCAAAGTGAAACGTAGTTATATATTCGTGGTTTTCACGATTATTAACTATGTTTCAGTTTGACATAATTGCTGCCGGGCATCAGCCGGCAGCAGACCATATTCTTGAGCGATTTGAGATTTTTGGTTCGATGGTTCCATGGTTCAATCAGCAAGTGCTTAGCTGCCGCGCCTGTTTTTCTCTTCAGAGCAACCCGCCATTTTGTTTTGTTCTCATGTGAGTTTAAGATCTGTGCAAAAGTTGTAGTACACCGGATGTTTGCTGTCTTTTTAAACAGCCTAAACGGTAAGAACAGTTCAAGAACTATTGCACGGGACATTTTTTCGTTTTTTTTTTTTTATGCTAGGTTTCAAGATTAGTTATCGTATACCTGCCAACTTTTTCTGAGATATAAGCGTGAGATTTTTATCCTGAGAGTGCTGGGATTTTTGAAGACGACACGATCATTTCCGAAGATTCCCGAAGAAGTCCGAAGTCTTCCGAAGACGTCCGAAGTCTGCCGAAATCTGCCAAAGGCAAGCTCGCTCCCAGTGCTTTTCACTTCAAAAATCAGAGATCGCGAGGAAGGTATTGCCATTTATTAATTTTACACATGGTTTTCATTCCTTACATGGGTCTGAGTTAACGTATTTTTGGAAATTGTGTCAAGCAGGACGGCAACAACTCACATTTTTCAATCAGGCGTGAGAAATTGGCCCGCAGGCGTGAGCCGGCGTGAGATCGAAGTTTTCAACCCGCAGGCGTGAGACTCACGCCTAAGGCGTGAGAGTTGGCAGGTATATTATAGCGAGTATTTTTTGTCACACAGATTGTTATCTCGGGAATCAGGATTGTAAGTTGTGATCGGCGTGTACTGTACGTCTACCTGACCCGTGAATAAACAAGTTTTGGCCTTTACGTTATTTGTTCGTAACTCTTCTCGTCATGTACACGATGATTGTTCGATGAAGAAACAGTCTATCAGCACTGCCGTTGTTAAAATGAATTACAAAATCATGTTAAAACTTTGGCGAGTCAGTATCTGAATCCCCGGGGGGGCACTTTAGGAATTTCTGGGTGGGGATGTGCCGCTGGGAGCCTGGAACCCTTAACCTTTACCAGAGCTGGTTCAGCTGAATTTTGCTACCCTATACTAGAGTAAACTCCCCAAATCCCCCTATCCTAGAGTAGCTGTGTACCTATTCTAGATAAAATCTTCAACCAACTGATCAGTTTCGTGAAAAATGATACCCTATTCTAGAGCCAAACGCTCTGATTTATATACCCTATCCTAGAGTAAACTGCTTGAAAACCATACCCTTCACAGCGGCACATACCTATATAGCCCATATATGGCAGTACCCCCCCCGGGATCTGAATATAGCATATTTGTCATTGTGATCGGTTCATTTTTTGTATTTTACTCTGAGTGCATCATAATTCTATGTTATTGGCTTTAAGAAAAAAATTCATATGTTCAACTGTTCTACATACTGTCTTCTTCCTATTCCCATCGCAACTCACGGCAGCACTTCCCTTGTCAATGAGAACTTCTAGTTATTAATCGTAAATGACGTCCTTTACGATTAAAAACTACAAAGTACCGCTCTTTACGATTAATAAGTACAAAGCCCGTCATTTGTAGTTATCAACCTGGCAGATTTCATTACAAAAAAATAGCAATTGCGCGCGAAATTGCGTGCCTGTTTATGTATCGGTCAAATCGAAGCTTCAACATGCCCCCCCGGCATACCCCGGGCATTTGACACCTTTGCCGTCCCGGGGAGGAGGGAATTTGATCATCAAAGTCTTCCAGGGGGTGGGGAATTTGATCCAAGGCTTTGGGGTGGGGAATTTGAACTCCACCCTCGATTTCATGTAAAATCTTTGGCGTGGCGAGCTATCATGGGGGACGCGGTGTTAGAGGATTTTCGTGGAGAAGATTGTGCCTTTGTGGCCAATTGGTTACGAGGAAAGGGCTTAAACAAGCTTTGCGCCGTATTTGAAGTATTTAAATTTTAAAATTTTTAATATTGGATTCAGGCTTTGAATGTATGAATGTATTTTATTGTTGTGTTTACAATGAAGTACAATACCTATACCGGCGATTCAGTACAACAACATAAAATAAAATAAAATAAAATAAAACGGTCAACTACTTTGGCCTACTGCAAGTATGTTAATCAATAAGGTGAGCGATGATGCATGTCAGTGAAATGGTCATGATGTAGTAATCTCAATAGGTGGGATCTTTTTTTATAGAACGCTTTGTATGTTGCATGACGAAGAAAAGCTGAGCATTCAGTGACCTTGTAGCAGCGATTTCCGCCGCTTTGCACGAGACTTTTGTTCGTAGTAAATACGCTAGCAGTGTTGCTCAGTTTTTGTTATATTTATAAAGATTTTGTTCGACAACTGAACGCGTTCCCACCGTCCTTCTGTCATTTTTGTGCCCGTGAAATGTCCCCGGGGTGGGGGCATTTGATGACCTGAATGGACCCTAATGTGGGGCACTTGAACGGCATTTTGGCCCGGGTAGGGGGGAATTTGCACAATAATTTTCCCAAAAGTCAAATGCCCGGGGGGTTGCCCGGTGGCATGTTGAAGCTTCGATTTGACCGATACATTACGCCTGCTCGGCATTCTTGTCAGGCATGTGCAGGAGAAAATTCTTCGCTCTTTCGAGAGGATCGAACGAAACTGGTCGAGTAAACTTGCAGAGTTCATCCTCTTCCTCAGGGCGCTTTTCCCTGGCTTTGGAGGTGGGGCGGGAAACATCCTCGTCCCCAGGGCATTTTTCCCTGGCTATGGCCAGGGAAAAGCGCGCTGAGGACGAGGGTGTGCACAGTTGTGTGACCAAGGCTAGAGGAACCCTGGTGTTTACGACTTAACCTTCGATCAGTCTAAAGTCTTGTGCATTTTTGCTTCATTTAGTTTCCATACAACCCCAACATTTATTATGCATGCAACAATTTCCTACTTTTTCTCACTACTAGTTAATATGAGTAAAGTCGAAACATGTGATAATGCATAATAAATGTTGGGGTTGAACAGAAATCGTACCGTTCGTTTCGATTATGGGTATCTTCGGCTTTGGGGCCCCATTTTCACTGGAAAATCTTCTCGACGAAAGCTGTCCTGTATGATCCAGACAGGTACGGCGATCCACAGCTAACAGTCGAGTTTGCAGGTAAAGAAGATCACGAATGCAGCACGATAGATGCTGGCCTCCGATTGGCACAAAAACATTTTTTTTCTGCCCAATCAGAGATAGCTAGGCAAGCATTCGAATAAGTCGTGGAGCTGGTTTGTTTAGAGTAATATCCCTTTCGCCGCCGTTTATCCCGACCCGACTGACAGCCCCCGGGTCTCCGAGGATGGTTTGACGCCGAGAAACGGCCACTGTTGGTTAATATGTTTCTTTATTCTCAACAAGCAAACATTTAAAGTCACCCGGCTTCTGATATAAGACTGATACTACATTCAAACTTCGTCTACAAGATATTCAAACAAGAACCTCAAAATTACAAAAATTAGCTTGCTCATGTTCACTGGTGAAGCAGTGGATAACACTATTGTTGTCTGAACACCACTAAAAATGCCATTGTGTTGGACACAGTATGGCTATTTTCAGACGGAAACATTTCATGACGTCTGGGTCAATATTGAACAAAAAAACTCTTTGGTTATCAGAAAACAAAATAGAAACTAAAGTTCAGATCCTTCCACGTTGATTTTATACTTCAACAAAAGCAACTGGTCAAACACTTGAAAAAGGCGAGAGCCCCCACGATCCGTTTAGACGGGAAATGGGGCAACCAATTACGTTAGTACGTTAAGCTCAGAAGTTACCACTATGCACTGAATACAAACGTCCTCTGAGAATGCGTAAAATGCAAAAGCGAGATTTCTCATCAACACACACAACTTAACCCAGTAAAACAAAGATTCATACCAAAAGCCTTAATAACACCTTAACAGTGACAATCATGTCGTGAATATATACCATACTCGATCAAAAATAAAATCAAAGAGACACCAACCAACAAAAAATCGAGAGACTTCTGCTCTAAAACTTCGAAAAATTTCTTGGTTAATAACGAAAAAAAGGACACTAAAATTCTGCATAAGTCGCAAACGGCGTATAAAAGGCGCAGCTTGCTTCTTCACTTTCCAACTGCCTTAAGTTCACGGTCCATCTGGCAGAGTGCGCATTCAGCACAAAACATCAAGGTAAGGGCATCATTGCACAGAGAACCCTGAAAAAAAAAAAGCAGCAGTTAAGCTACAATTATTATCGTCGAAAGTGTTGGGAAGGCTGCTACTTCTTACCTTTCTCTTCCCCCCGCCCCTGGCCCAATACTGAGCAAAACGTCTATGTTTGTGCGCGTGATTGCTCTGTTATATCCCAACAATGAATAGGGAGGCAAGAGAGATATTTAGCAAAAGAGAGAAGTCTCTTTTTTGAGGACTAAGGGAAAGTTCATTTAATATGACAAGGGGGGGGGGATGAAGATATTGAAACTCGAAGCTTGAAATTTTAGCAGCCCCCCTCGCTAGCGGTTCAATTTTTTAGGAGCCCCCTCCTTGGTAGTCGAAAAAATTTCAGAGCCCCCCCCCCCTCCTTCAATTCCTTTGCCCCCCTGAAAAAAGATCGCTAGACTGTATTACATATATTTACCGTTATTGTCTTCAATGGTTTATACTATCACAAACTTGAGATACAGTTGTGATACAATTTTCTAAAGCATTTTTAGGATGAACAAGAGTGTAATAATTACTGAGACTACATTTGTTATATCTGTAAACCCCGTGATATAGCTGAGTTGCACAGGTCATTAAATTATTGAGTTGAAAACCATCCGATCTGTATGATGATGTCATGTGTTGGTTTTGAAGTATACAAATTTTCGGAGCCCCCCCTCCTAGCGCAACAATTTTTTCAGAGCCCCCCCTTCGGGTGTCTAAAAATTTTCGGAGCCCCCCCTCAATATCTTCATCCCCCCCCCTTGTCATATTAAATGAACTTTCCCTAACCTTCCGAAATACTTTTGTCCGTGATTGTAGGTCGAAAAGATATGAGCCCTCGAGTGCCGGTCTCGCATAAAAACTAAGGTATTACAACACGGCCATACAGTTGAGTTATCCTTTTACGACGTATCAGGTGGGTGGGTGGGTTTGTGTATTAGTGGGTTGGCAGTTGAATGCTAGCGCAAGGATACTGGGGGGGGGGGGGGGGGGGTCTTCGCGCTTACTCGCTTGCAAGATTTCCCAAAAACAAACAATCAAACAAACAAAGCACACAATCACCAAGTTCTTTATCAAAGTAAACACTGAAAAGACCTACCTGAATATGCTGTTCTGTTCTCAGCTTGGCACGCAGAGTGAATGGTGCGACATTACCGCAGCAGCAGGCATAAGCAAATCCTTCCTGCATGCGGCTGGAAATGCTGCACAACAGGAAGCAAGGACAACACAAACCCATGAGACCTAAGGACAAAGCAAAAAAACAACGATAAACTTGAACGAGGTTTAAACCACAATTGCAGGTGCTTAAGCGTCTTAAACCGCAGAAAGAGTAAGTGCTGATTATGATAAATAATATTCCCTTTAATCTTTATTTATTTACTTATCACCAACCAGCATGCTCTTGACATATCTGATCCTAACAGTATGCAGGCAACGCGTTTTGTAAATCGCTCTGCATGAGGAGACCTCTCCATCGATCAGTGGATGCGTCCGCCCGACCGCGAGCTCGTCCGATCGCCCGCCCGCCCGCCCGCCCGCGTGCCTGGTATCGGCAGGGACACCAAAGGTCGGAATCCGGTCAGGAACTCAAATTTTGTTTTTTGTCTTCCCCTAGCGCTTATGACATGACGGTTACGTACATCTTTTTCATTCACTGCCGAGTTTGAAAGACTCCCATCCTTTTTATATCGGGCAACTAGTGCTTAGAGTGCTTTTGATTTACATTGCTGCACTTTGTTGTCAGAGAATAAAATCATGCGTCGGCATCTAAACTGTCAGAACTATAATAACAAGAAACGGTATAACGGGTAAGACCGATGGTGATTTGTTCGCAGGCCTTTTCCGCGCTTCACAGAGCTACATTTATTTGCCTCAAGATCTGATAGGTTAACATTTGCCTCCATAGTAAAAAATGTCAATCGTTAACTGCGCGCTCCAGTATTAAATCAGGGGCACCCAACGACTGTTTTTGCAAAATATCTGTTCGAAGAAGCAAAAATTTGCTAGAATTTTCTATAGCTTCAGGAAGGCTACAAGTTTCTAGATGACCGTTCCATTCATGCACAATTTTAGAAACGCTATCTAATAAATTCCCGATTTTCTGAAGTATATAATTTTTCGCATTTCACTCCCAAGATTAACGAGCTATTTCTCGTAGAAGAGGGAAACCCAAAATTTTGGGATTCAAAAATGTGATGGAGAGTGGAATAAGAAAAATGCCTACTTTCGTAAAACTTTAAATTCCATCTAAAATTTCAATTTCGGGAAAATAATAGCGAAGCCCTTGTAATTTCGAAAAGACTCAGTTGCCCTAGGATGACCGAACAGGTACAAATTTTATAGCGCCGCTTAGAATGCACTTCTAGAGATGCAAAAGTTCTCTGCATAGGCTAAAAAGTGTTTTCACTGCATTTAGAAGAACCGTCGTTGGGTGCCCTGTTGGATCCACAAGTATAAAAGCTTACAGCTGCCTATATCATCAAAGCAGGAGAACAGGCCAGAATTCCAATCCCTCAGGACTTGTGTTTGCTGGACAACCACAGTTGTTCCTGGCTGAGCAGTCACTATTTGCGCCATAATGAGTCCTTACTGGAAAAACAAAAATATAATAATAAATAATAATACTTTAATTATCCTCTCCCCTTGTGGGAATTTTCAAGGATTTTCTGAGTCTTCTGTATAGCCGACTGAAGAGCTAGTTTCCCATCAAACAGTCGTGCTATCACACATGACATAGTTAAAAAAACATAAGAAAACAACTGGTAGGAGGCAAACCAGTTAGCTATTCACAAGCGTGGCCGAGGATTTGAACTCGGGACTACCATGAACATAGCGCTCAGAACGGGAACTCAACTCGGAACCTTCGAAGTACAAGTCCAGCGCCCTAACCACTCGCGCATCGACCACGCCTCATCCACCTCTTCACAAATCATTTGTGAAGGGAATCCACTTTTAATGGGGAAACGTTGACAAGAAACAAGCAAGCAAGGACAGAACAAAACTGGAAAACGGCGGGGTAAACACTTCGAGGTTTGACCACTAAACAAAAAGGCCATTAATTAAAACGTCCAAATAAAGAAAACGAAAACCATACATACTACAAAAACAATCAGGTTATTTTACATTATCATGAAAATATTTAAAACATCGATCGGCGTCTCTTTTATATGAGGATGAACGGAAATGTTAAGGTACGTAGTAAACCAGTGTCATTAATTATTGTCAGGGGGTAATTATCCCTGGATGGAGGATAAACTCAAAACTCGGATAAACTCTCAGCTGTATTTTTTCTAAAAAAGGACCGACATTGAAGGATAAAAAAAGACCTTGATAAAGACAGTCATGTGGTTTGCACTGTTTGATTTGCTTGGTTTTTCCACTGTATCGCCCCATGTAAAGGAATCAAAGAGAGTCTCTGATTCTGGATTCCAAAGCCCAGGATTCCTGATTTTCCGGATTGCGGAATCCCCATTTCCTTGTGGCTTGTGGCTTGTGGCTTGTGGACGGTTTACAGCGACCTGACTAACGTCACTTAAGGACGAGGGAAGAATGGGTGCGACGTTTGCGTGAATCGGAAGCATGCTTCTGCGTGAACTTAACAGGGCTCTTGGTAGGGGAAATGCGCAATACAACATCTCTTACTGACTAAAAATCTAAATCTTGGGATATTTGAAAGCGAAAAACCACGAAAATAAGAAGAGTAATACAGAGGTGATATAGATTCTGCTTCATTACAGAAAATTCCTCATTAACCCATGTTGGCAAACAGTAGTATAGAAACCGGTCACCACCAAGAGAGAAATGTAAAACGAAAACGATTGCAAACAAAAATTGAATGTCAGGGCGAGCATCGGCAAACCGCAGATAAAACTATTCTTGAGGACTGAGGACGACTGGCCTAATTCTAGCCGCTATATTTCGATCAGTACAAATGTATGGCTGGTAAAAGGACGTTAGGTTTATCGGGAATTTCGAAAAACCAAGGGTTCGAGACATCGGAATTCTTCTGTACTGCCTATGTTGTGACCACTCTTTGTCACGATTAGCCTGTGCTATAGAATAGGCCGCCGCGGAACAATGAGATCTAGTCCACACAGGCTACGTTGAGTTGCCTTTTGTTCAGTTTTCGTCAAGCCTAGTTTGGTTAATTAAATAACTAATGAGAGTTCCCTTTTTTAAGAGCGAATTAAAGAATCACCAGAGATTATGAAAGGGATAAGAATCAACGTCCATTTCAGCAATTAAGACACTGCATTTAGAATGCGCTTAAAAGGGTGAATATTTCTTTAATCAGCAAAATGTTACAACTCTTTTAATGGAAATAAGTTCCTTTTTAAAATGATAGTAGTGGAAAACAACTAAAAACACACCCAAGTACGGATCCGTACCATACTGATTGAATTTGAAATGGTGCACTGTATCTTGAGAGGTAGTTAACTGCCTGAAATTTTCACACCATATGATGCAAAAGGAAAAGTGAGAGTGCGCGCAAAGCGAGATCGTCAAATCTCCACCTTTCCCTACAGATACGTGCTTCTAAAGTACGAATTTTGAGGCTTTAAAAGCTCTGTAATTAAAATGCCAGGCAGGGAAGGCACTTAAAACTGAATACGCCAAAGAGTCTTCCCGAGCACCCGTTAAGCAAAACAAAACGAAAAAAATCAATTACGTGTAATAATTATGAACACTCGGACATCTCAATATTGAATCAGGGTGAATAGTGTGATTAATAGTGCATGGTCTTGTTTGTCTCCGTTTACTTTCCGATGGCTTTGAGTTCACGGTCCATCTGGCACAGCACACAGTTGCCGCAGCAAGAGATCATGATGGCATCATTGCAAAGAGAGCCCTGAAAGAACACCATAGATTAGAAGGGGGAGCGAAAACAGAACCAAGGTGAACGTGGTAACTATAGGAGCCGATATAATCTAGGCTTGTCTTTTCAGTCTCTTTCAATCTCAGAGAGAAAAGACGAGTTGTGACTACACTTTTTGGAACCTATTAAACTTAAGGAAAGGAAGCGAAGTTATGTGAACAAAATCTACTAAGTAGCACTATCGCACGCCATCTTAGCTGTTGGTTTCAACCGGTTTGTCTGTACATAAATCGGATCTCAGTAGAGTCAGTGTAAAAATTGCGATAAACATTTTAGCGTGTGCCTTAAAATCTGTGTCACTGTATGGCTGTACCGCAGCAGGACTAGCTCAGTGGGTAGAGCGCTTGACATGACCGACAGATCGCTGCCGATCGCGAATTTTATAAAATTATAACGTTACGTTTCGTTGGGTAATTCAGTTATCTTCAGTGCAACAAAAATATGTTACGTAACAAGCCAGGAATCAAATACTAACTTGAATGCCCTGCTCTGCTCGGAGCTTAGCTCGAAGAGTGAACGGCGCGATTTGCGAGCAGCAGCAGGCATAAGCAAAGCCTTCGCCCATACGACTGGAAACACTGCACAACTGGAAGCAGGGGCACAACAAACCCATGATGCCTGTAGACAAACAAACAAATGATAGGGTGTAAGGCTGTAGAAAATCTACCGTTACACTAACGGCACAGGCGTTAAGGAGAGAGGAATGTCATTCACGTAGAACTGCTAAATTTATTGTACTCAGCAATCGTAAAGGTTAGCACGTTATATCAACTCATAAACTTGTCATACCTTATTGGTACGGCTTAATTTCGAGATTTCGCCGGGTTTTATTTTCGCGATTTTAACAAGTAAACATGAAAAAAGGGCATTAAATTTCACAATTTAGGCTTTCTCACTCAACTTCGTTTTCATTTTCTTTTTTTCAAAAGTCTGAACCTTTAAGAAAATTAGATAAACTGGAACAAGCAATGTGCGAAATCTTTGCAAACTAACGTCATTTCAGAACGGAAGATACAACTGAATGGAGCTTACCAGTAAAACTTGTGTTTGTCGATACATATCGTTGCTATTACATGTCAACTGTTATTTGAATTTTCTATATGGGTATCAAATTTCGCGTGCTTTTAATGTCGCGGGTCTTTAATTTCGCGATTTTTTTACATTCGCGAAAACATTGGGATGATTGACTGCCACGTGAACAGTAGTCTCTCATAGTATGATGGGCGCCAGCGCCACAGAAATTTTAAACACCTGAGGGATTGTTCATGATCTTGTCTGAAGCTGCTGCCGGGGTTTTAGAAGCGGAGCTATTTTTATTTCTCTTGCGATCAAGGAAACTGAACATCGCGTTACTTACAGCTGCCTATGTCATCAAAGCAAGCGAAAACGCCGGAATTCCAGTCCCTCAGGACTTGTGTTTGCTGAACAACCACAGTTGTTCCTGGCTGAGCAGTCACTACTTGCGCCATATTGAAGCGGAATCCTTAAAGAGTCTGTAAATACCAATAATAGAATACTGAGTTAAGAATGCTCGTTTTTTAGTTTGTTTCTTTACACTCCTTTACAGTATACACTGTGTTATGCGACTGACAATCCACTATTAAGCCCTTTGAAGTGAGGGGGCGGCTAATTCAGTCTTGCATGCTTTTAAACATTTCATCATCTTTTGTAATTCCCCAAACGATACTCAGAAGCGACTGAATAAACTTAGAAAAGTGAAAACAGCACTAACTTTTAGCATACCAAATTCTTGTTTCACATAAGGGGAATTACTGTCTTGAATGAGAATATAAGTAATGATCAGTAATATATATGATATGAATATATATGATAAGTTAAGTTGTTTAACACATTCTCAGTTCAGTCTGATCTTGAAACTAAATAAGGCACTGGGATTGGGGTGGACTTCAATGACAGGTACTTACTAAAAGTCCTGGGGTGGGGGATACTCCCTATAATGGCCTATAAGGGGAGGCTCCGCCCAAAAGGGATACCTTTTTCAGGCTTTAGGGATTTCACTCGTTGAAGTATATGATCTGTCATTTGGGTCTGTGAAAGGGCCCAAAGGGTCGAACAGACGGAATTTGTGGCTTTACTTTAAGTCGAGAAAACGTTCTATTTTTGTGACTGATTCCTATTTAAAAGGCAATGCATTTATAGCAGTTAAAAGGGATGCAAAGTTTCTGTTTGTCAATAGAAGGTATACGAAAGGACTACCTTTTTCGTGAAAAATGGTATGTAAAACAGGGTAGGGGGTTGGACCTCGGGGCGGGGCCTCCCCATACAAAAATTTGTTGAGTACCCCCCTCCTCCCCCGGGGTGTGACTATGAAAAGATGTAAACGTGATTGATGAGAACATTTGCGGTACGCCATTTGCTGGTTAAGAGCAGAGTTTGGCGTATCTAGGTTTAGCTTGGTCTTAAGTTGCTCCGCATCAGTCCCGGTCTTTATCTCCGAATTTATGCATTCCTTCATACGTTTAAGCATTCTTCTACGGTTATTTTCTTCTAAAGTTGTTCTACCTTTATTAATTTAAAAAGCAAAGAATGTTTTATGAAGATCGCTGTCAATTTTTTATTTTCTATTTTACTCTTTATCAGTTCTTGAAGGAGACAGTGATCGTTTTTTTTAAAGACTACTTTTCATGCAGTTCTTTATGACAAGTTTTTCCCTTACAAGAATTTTTTTAGTTGCTTGTGTAAATAGGAAAACTCGACAAGCAACAAGCAAATTTAAAAAACTTCCTCGCGTGAATTGGACATATTAAATTCTGCAAGCAGAATACTGCAATGCTGATCGTACGAACTGAAAATTAACTTTGCAAGGCATGAACACGACACCGAAAGAATCCAAAACAGAGCGGGATTGTAGCCTTAGCAGCTGTTTCGCTATTATTGTAGCTCATCAGTATGCAGTAACAACAGAGAAGCTCTGCTGAAAAATAACCCGCACACTCTGATTTAAGCTATGACCCGAAACTCCAACACCCATAGAATCACGCCATATCACGTCTCCTGGACGGCAAGATTCCAAGTTTCAAGTTGATGTCTCGCAAAGAAAATGTAGAAAAAAGGATTGGCCAAAATCAACCTCAGTTGCAGTCTTTGTGGTTATTGTTCGTACCACGCGTGAATGCGGCTTAACAACCTCGTTCCCAGTAGGAGAGAGAACCTGGGAACGAGGTTGGTGGCTTAAAAGTTTGATGTCAGGATTTGCAACAACGCAGGCTCACAGGTTTGGGGCGGGAAACAGTTTCATTGCTTAATAAAAAGGAACGTACGCTTTTACATCTATTAAACGCCTAATAATGACTTTTGTTCAGTAATTTTTCTTTACTTTAAAACCAGTCTTTATTAGGAACTTTTTTCCTTTGAAACCTCATTTTTACTTGTTTACGTACAGTCGAAACTCTCGGTACGGACACCTCTATATTACGGACAGTTTCCAATGTCCTGACAAAATTCTCATATAAAAAAAAACCTCTATCATACGGACTCTCTCTAATACGGGCAACGGACGCTAAATCTCGGCCCCAGAGAGTAAATTCCTATAAACTTAACCTCTTTATTAAAGACACTGCGGTGATCAAGTGAATCTGCACAGGGTGAATCACGTCTGGCTGATGAGCTATGTAAGGTGATTTTAAAAGCCCTGTCGCTGTACATCAAACAACGATTTGCAAAAGGTGTACATAGGAACATAACCGACTTTTTTAAGGCGTGAATAACTACAGATAGAATCAAGATCTTTTCTATTACATTTTGTCAGTGCTCTAGTTACAGTTTACTGCACTTGCAAAATAGCGAAAGACGCTCAATTGTGCTTTACCTTACAAGGTTTTACATACAGCATTGCACTGTAGCTTGTTTCGTTTTAAAAGAGTGATTTGTCTACGACTGTACGTACGTAGCTGATATGTACCATGTTGTATTCTACTGAAAGACCGCGTCTTTGTACTGTGAATTAATAAATTTAAATCAGTTTAAAGACGAGTGTAAGCCTGGTTTTAGCTCCTGAACACTTAAAACTATAAGTGGAGTCATAAAAGTGACGTCATCGTTGTGAGACCTTTTATACGGACATTTCTCTAATACGGACACTTCGCTCTGTCCCTTCGGTGTCCGTATGAGAGAATCGACTGTACGTTGTGTTCCAACATTCAAAATATTGTAACTGGTAAAAAAACTTCCACTGACACCAACGGAACAAATAATTCACTTGCATTCGCAGTATCCCCAGGAGGAATGTGTGTTTAAACTTGCAAGTCAGTGAAATTATCGCGTTATAGGTTAGCCAGCATTTTACATTATGATTAGTTTTTACTCTTTACCAGCAATGATACGGTTAAAATTAATCGCTCGTGTCGATTTAACATACTATATTAAAGTCATTACATAGACAGTATGAAGAATTTAGCCATTTTTAACACTTTTAATCACGTTTTGAATGAATAGAAGCTGAGGGTAAGAAAGGTGTAGTTCGAATCCAAAGTTTGCGTTCAAACAACAAGGCACTTTTTACCTGTAAATTCGAAGTGCAGGGCCAACTTTCAAGAAGATGACATTAACTATTGTCCATGGAGTACAAAGCAAGAACTTGGTCATGAACTGAAACCCGTCGGTCCTTTTGTCTGGAGGTAGGTGTCACACTCATCTAACGGAATCCTCGTTGTAGTCACGGTGTTCTTAAGAGTAAAATCGACTTTTGAAATGTGCTGTTTTTTTTTTTCCACTCACAGTTAAGCAGCAAGCATCTTTTCCTCTTAAAGTTCCCGTAGCCAGTTCCAGGCTGGCTCTTGGCTTTCACATGGTGGAGTGCGGAGCGAAAATCTCCCGAAAGTTCCCACACATTCGGTGTCGGGTTTCTCGCGTTACAGTCGTTTTAAAGATCGTTCTCCGTATTGCCGCAAAATCGAGATTTGTTGTTTAATTCGGGCCTTTTTTAGGACAATCATTGATTGCCCTAAAATTTTTCAACTGACGTTTGCCGGATGTTCAACAGAGTCATCGTTTTTTTTTCTCCCTGTTCAACAACGGTTTACTTCAGAGAAGCTCCGATCGTGTTTTCTTTCTGCCGTCACGCAACGCTCCTTCCCACAAAGGAGCGTTGCGTGACAACACAAGGAGGCTAATCGTGTTATGGGGTCTTTTAGGCCCTGTCCACACTAATGCGTTTTCAAAAGTATGCGTTTTCGTTGTCATCGAAAACGCATCGATTGATTCGCGTCCACACTACCGTTTTGATGCATTTTCGACCGTCCGCACTAAAACGTTAGAATTGCAAGTTGTGACATAAGTTGTACTCCATGCGCACGCTGCAAACACACGCGCCTGCGATACGTTTGGTCAACGTTTTCATTTTGATGCGTTTTCCACCTTCCACACTAATACGATGTGTGCGTTTTCGTTTTGATCCATTTTCAACAGCGTTTTCAAATTGAAGCGTTTTCGATGAAAACGCACAGCATATAGTGTGAGCGGAAAACCTATACACATCGAAATGTATGGATTTTCAAATGAAAACGCATTTTGGGCCCTTACACCACGGCCCCAAAGCGCATTTCTATCAGATCTTTCATTCCAAAACAGCCAAGACAAAGAGTATGTACAACTGAGGTAAAAAAAAAAGATCTTACAAGTGAAAATATTATGAAGTGTTGGCCAAAAACTCCACTTTGTCCATTTCAGGCCTATTTTGAACTACTTTGAATAGTGTTAATTTCGTTCTCTTTAAAATTTGGAAAGGTTTCCTGAATAAATGCAACTTTTTTAATACTCCAAACAAAAAAGGATAGCAATTTGCAGTTATGTTATGTAAGGATACAAGCACAATTGCCAAATCTGCCGGTTTTCCAGACGGTCCCCGGTCGCTCAGGCGCTGCAGTTTTCACTTCTGTATGTTGTTGAGGTATTTACTATGCCTAAGATGGGCTTCTGAGCTGATCACGATAGTTCGACACGCGTCGGTGAGATTGATTTCGTGACAGTCTATAGCGTGGGCGCGTTTCGGATGTATTAGGGTTTTTTTAAAATTTTTTTTTCCTCATTAGAGTTGGGATAAGCATGGGCAGAGCATCCCACGCGATCACCCCATGCAGGAATTTTTCTAGTAGCAGGCACGTTTTATCATCACTTTGTTTTGTCGTTTCAGCGTCGCTGCCATAGTCATGCATTTCACAAGAAGATGCAGATAAAAAAATAAAAGAAAGATGAAGAAAACTGTGCACTCGGGCAATCACATTTTGGTTTTTATTTCTTCCAAAAAAGGAAGAACTTTAAACATAAAACCATTAAAGCGAAGAACAGTAAAGATATTCTGTTTTTTTTTTCAGTTTTCGTTTTATGCTTTGTGTTTCATTACAGTGTGTGGTCGGCTTTTGATTCCTCGCCCTTTGATCCTCTTGTAAACATCCACGCATCTGGTCAAACTTGGTCATATTTTCATATTAAATAGCCTAAAGGTGATACGATCACTGCACTGCGATCTGTTGCTACATCCTGAACTCCACATCAACGAAAGTGTTGTGGTTACAGCTAGTGTTTATTAACAGCAACAAATTAACACAACAAAAGCTACTGCATAAGCAAAGCTGCTGTATTATTCATACGCCTTTCAAAAGGTGGAAACGTGATATTTATCACAATGTCACGAAACGCGAGCAATGCGGAAAATGTGATTGGTGTTCACTTAATCATTTCTATCTGTCCGAATTGATGAGATTCAGATCAATTATGAGAAATTGTGTGGAAGAGATTCCTCCATTCAGATTGATTGATGTAGAAGTTCATTACAACATTCACATGAATGATATAGTTCTTTACCACCTAAGGTTTCTTCCCGGGCACTGCTGCAGTCATTTATGGCTCTGAGACATTTCTAGGATTCACTAGACAAAGATTCCCTGATTAAAAACA